TATTTTATATTTTATATTTTATTTTTTATTCCAGCTGATGATTGGGTTAGACCCATGAAACATTTTGTCTTGGAAGAAATATATATTTAAACATCTAAAATGTATATTTAAACTGAAAAAGTTGAAAATACTATATATATATAATATATATATATGTATATGGAAGGAATCTCTAATTGTCTGTTTCTTTGTAATTTCGATAATTACTCATGAATCTCAATTGATTGATATGATTGGGAAACTCGGGAGAAGTACGGGAATGTTCTTATAGTTTGGTTTCAAGATTTTAAAGTGAGTGGGTCCACTATTGGGAAAAATAGATAAAGTCGTAATTTTCGGTCAAGCGCGGGTAAACGGCGGGAGTAACTTTGAGTACCCTGGGCAACGCTGGGTTCTAAAGCTAGTAGTTATATATAAGAGGACAGGACAATTATTGTTTTTAGGACAAGTATTAGTTTGTACAGGACAAGTATCAATTTGTTACAGGACAAGTATCAGTTTGTACAGGACAAGTATCAGTTTGTAGGACAAGTATCAGTTTATAGGACAAGTATCAGTTTGCAGGACAAGTATCAGTTTATAGGACAAGTATCAGTTTGCAGGACAAGTATCAGTTTATAGGACAAGTATCAGTTTATAGGACAAGTATCAGTTTGCAGGACAAGTATCAGTTTGTAGGACAAGTATCAGTTTGCAGGACAAGTATCAGTTTATAGGACAAGTACCAGTTTATAGGACAAGTATCAGTTTATAGGACAAGTACCAGTTTATAGGACAAGTACCAGTTTATAGGACAAGTACCAGTTTATAGGACAAGTACCAGTTTATAGGACAAGTAATAGTTTACAGGACAAGTATCAGTTTATAGGTCAAGTATCAGTTTGTAGGACAAGTATCAGTTTTTAGGACAAGTATCAGTTTACAGGACAAGTATCAGTTTATAGGTCAAGTATCAGTTTGTAGGACAAGTATCAGTTTACAGGACAAGTATCAGTTTATAGGACAAGTACCAGTTTATAGGAAAGGTATTAGTTTATAGGACAAGTATCAGTTTATAGGACAAGTATCAGTTTGTAGGACAAGTATCAGTTTGTAGGACAAGTATCAGTTTACAGGACAAGTATCAATTTATAGGAAAAGTATCAATTTATAGGACAAGTATCAGTTTATAGAAGTATCAGTTAATAGGACAAGTCTCAGTTTGTAGGACAAGTCTCAGTTTGTAGGACAAGTATCAGTTTGTAGGTCAAGTATCAGTTAATAGGACAAGTATCAGTTTATAGGACAAGTACCAGTTTACAGGACAAGTATCAGTTTGTAGGACAAGTAACAGTTTTTGGGACCAGTAATTAGTTAAATTTGACGAAAATGAAAACTTCAAATATTTTTGTTTAAGGTTGTTTGGAGGGAAGGAGTCAGATGTTAGGTATTTTTGATGTTTATATATTTTATTTTATTAAAGAAATTTTTAGTATGTTGTTCCTTTAGTTAAGATTATCTAAGTGTTTCTCTTTAAGAGTTACATTATACCGAGATCATCATGCTTGGTGTCCGTACTGCCAGAAGATTTGGGTATTTCTGGAAGAATCTAGGATACCATACAGGTATATTTTTTGGTCACTCCCCCCCCCCCCCCTCTCCTCTCCTCCCAAGAGGCGTACACAGGAGTGGGGCTATGGGAGCTCCTGCTCCCCCTGGATCAGTAAAATCTGTAGATTTCAGGGGGTTTTCGGGTCCCAACAAGGTGCTAAGCCCCATCCCTGGAAAGAAAAAATATTTTAAGCCTCCCTGGACGAATTTCTCTACACGCCCCTGCTTTCATCCGCCCCCTAGTTTAAAAGGCATGTTTGTAAGTTTTGTTTTGGCAAAATTGGGGAAAACAAAATTTTTTTGTGGGAGGTTAATTAGAGATTGGGGCCTGTGAACAGTAAGCAGTAATTCAAATGGGAATAAAACTTGCCCGTTGATTCTAATTTTTCTTTCTCATCCCAAATTATTTAAAATAATTCTTCCCTTTGTCTGTTGGGGGAGGGGGCGGGTAATTTTTCAGAAAAATAAATATCCCCTTTTACAGGGTGAGGAAGGTGACGATGTTCTGCTACGGTGAAAAGGAGGCTTGGTACAAGAAAATTGTTCCTTCAGGTAATTTTTCTACGGCGGATATATTTTCTTGAAAACTCCGCCCCCCCTCCCCCACTGTGGATATATTTTCTTGGAAC